GTGGGGGGGTGGGGGAGGGAGTAGCCAGGGGCCCAATGAACCTGAGAGACATAAGGATGTATCATCCAGGATAAACAGATCCCAAAGTTACAGCAACTTTCTGGACCAGAGAAAGAAGCTGGAGAATACTAGTGGGCATGTTTTGTTTGCTTCATTCCTTGAGTGAAGCATCAACCTCCCAAAGCTCAACTGTAATGCTACTGAAGAGGCAGGGCTTGCTCCTGATACACTTGGACTCTCCTGGTGTTAATTGCTCCCACCTAATTAGCTTGTTGTTTATATATTTTCTCCTGAGGGCAGAAACAAGTACCCATGAAAGGCAAAGACCTGTGAAAAAGATAATCTTCCTGTGCAAGAAGCCAAACTTTACAGTGGAGCAGCGTGGCCCCTTTTAATGACTGCACTGTCTACTGAGTTAATTGCCCTATGGTCAGTCATGAGAGTAAATGAAGCTGCTAGAGGAATAGTTGTTCTATGGGGAATCAGAGGGGTGGCAAGCAGAGATTGGAGTGTTATCTACCGGTCTTTGGAGTCTAACTAGGAGAGCATACACTAGCAAGAGAGAGCCTCCAGGGAAGATGGGGCCATCTTCCTCAAGCACAGGCAGGGTCTCACGTCAGAAAAGGATACAGAATGAATTCATATAGCAAAATGAATATATGAGTGTAAGCACATACTAGTGCACCCCTGTGTACTTTATCCACAAGCGAAGATGCTGTGGAATGGGTTTTATCACATGCTAGCAAGCAGAATATGTACCTATGCTCCCTAGAGATGCTGACGTATCTTGGGTGGCACTGGTTGTTGTGCTAGCTAGATTGGTTTAGCAGGGGTCTGCTAGCACATGCTGCAGCCATACCTCCATTTTTTCTTTGCCATTGTACATGGAGAGATGGCTTCTTTGTTGCCTGTGTGCTGTACATGGAAGTATGCTTAGAAATCTGACTTCATAGTTTCTAGGGTTGGAAGGGACCTGAGCAGATCATCAAGTCCAACCCCCTGCCATGGCAGGAAAGAGTACTGGGGTCAAATGACTCCAGCCAGGTGTACATCTAGCCTCCTTGTAAAGACCCCCAGGGTAGGAGCCAGCACCACTTCTCTTGGAAGTTGGTTCCTGATTCTAGCCGCCCTGACCATGAAGTAGCGCCTCCTGATATCTAGCCTGAATGTACCCCCTGCCAGCTTGTGACCATTATTTCTTGTCACTCCTGGGAGTGCGCGGGGGAACAGGGATGCTCCCATTGCCTGCTGGTCCCCTCTCACTAGTTTGTAAACAGCCACTAGATCCCCCCTCAGCCTTCTCTTGTGGAGGCTGAACAGGTTCAGGTCCCGTAGCCTCCCCTTGTAGGGCCTGCCCTGCTGCCCCCTGATCACGCGAGTGGCCCTCCTCTGGACCCTCTCCATGTTGTCCACATCCCTCTTGAAGTGCGGTGCCCAGAACTGGCCACAGTACTCCAGCTGTGGCCTGACCAGTGACACACAGAGGGGGAGGATCACCTCCTTGGACCTGCTTGAGATGCATCTGTGGATGCATGACAAGGTGCAGTTGGCCTTCCTGACTGCATCCCCACACTGCCGGCCCATGTTCATCTTGGCATCAGTGATGACTCCAGGATCCTTTTCTGCCTCTGCACTGACAAGAAGGGAGTTCCCCAACCTGTAGGTATGGTGCCGGTTGTTCCTCCCCAGCTGCATCACCTTGCGCTTGTCAGTGTTGAATGCCATCCTATTCTCATCTGCCCACCCCTGTAACCTGTCCAGAACTGATTGCAGCCTATTCCTTTCTTTTAGCAGACCCACATCCCCCACATCGTAGTGTCATCTGCAGATTTGAACAGGTTGCTTTTTACCCCCTCGTCCAAGTCACTGATGAAGATGTTGAACAGTGTGGGCCCGAGGACCGAGCCCTGGGGGACCCCACTGCCCACATCCCTCCAGGTCAAATAAGACCCATTCACCACCACTCTCTGGGTGCCGCCCTCCAGCCAGCTAGTGAACCATCTGACTGTGTAGGCATCAACACCACAGTCTCCTACTTTTTAATGAGAATGGGGTGAGAGACCATGTTGAAGGCCTTCCTAAAGTCCAGAAAGACTATATCCACCGTGACACCTGCGTCTAAGGATTTTGTGACCTGGTAATAGAAGGCCACCAGGTTGGTCTGACAGGACCTGCCTCTAATGAACCCATGGTGGTTGCCCCTAAGCATAATCTCCCCCGCTGGCCCCTCATGGACATGTGCCAGAATAATTCTCTCAAAAAGCTTCCCCAGGACCAAGGTAAGACTAACGGGCCTATAGTTTCCCAGGTCCTCCTTCCTCCCTTTTTTGAAAATGGGAACCACATTGGCCCTTTTCCAGTTCTCTGGCACCACACCAGAGCACCACGACTGCTCATAAAGACGTGCCAGGGGTCCCAAAATGACCTCTGCTAGTTCCCTCAGCACTCTGGGGTGGAGACCATCAGGACCAGCTGATTTAAATACATTCAGTCCCTCCAGAAGTTCCCTGACTAGGTCCTCTCTGACCCTAGGCCTGGTTGTGCCTCCCCTGGGGCCTATGGGGGTCCCAGTGAGAGGGATGACCCGGTCCCTGCTTAGAAAAATGGAGGCAAAGAAGTTGTTAAATAGGCTAGCTTTTGCTGTCTGGTGTGACGACCAGATTTCCTAGCGTGTCTTGCAGAGGCCCCACGTTACCCGGTACCTTCTTTTTGCCCCCTATGTATTTTAAAAAGGACTTCTTGTTGTCCTTGATCTAGGAAGCTAGTCCCAGTTCCATCTCTGCGTTGGCCTTCCTGACTGCCCCCTGCCTCCCCAGGCCACCGCAGTATAGTCCTCCCTGGTGATGGCCCCTCCCTTCCATTGGGTGTGCACCTCCTTTTTAGCTTGGAGACGTTCCTGGATGCTTTTGGTGAGCCATGGGGGCTTTTGCGCCCTCCTGCCCCCTTTGATCCGTGTTGGGATTACCTCCCTTTGGGCTTGGAGGATCATCTCCTTAAGGAATGACCACTCTTCTTGGACACCCGACTCCCTTCCCTTCCAGGACCTCAGTGCCTCCCCGACTATTCTTCTTATCTCATTGAAATCTGCCCTTCTGAAATCTAGGGCTGCTGCCTTGCTGTAGGCCTTTGCCACCCTGCGCTGGATGATGAATTCCAGCAGGTGATGATCACTGTCGCCCAGGTGGTTGAGCACCCACAGCCCCCTCATCAGGTCATCACCCGTGGCCAGCACCAGGTCCAACAAGGCATTTCCCGTGGTGGGGCTGTGCACCTCCTGGGTTAGATGGAGGTCCCATATCTTGGCTAGGAACCTACGTGAGCAGTCAGACTTGGTTGACTGCTCTTCCCAGCAGATGTCTGGAAAGTTCAGGTCACCCATGATGACCATGTACTACCCGGGCCCCTGTTACTTAGCTAGGTATTTGTTCTGCTCGTCATCAGTCTAGGCTGGGCTGCTCTTGCAGGTGACACTTGGTTTGGTGGTCCAAGGCTTCCTCTGCCCTCATCTTCCCCTTCCCCTGGCAAGCCTAGTTTAAAGCCTGCCGAAAGCGACTTGTGGCAGCCTCCATTCCTATGTTCTACCAACATATTCAGTGAGCTTTAGAGCTCATCCGTTTATCCCTTTGCTGGGCCATGGGATAAAGGGATGAGCTCTGAATGGTGATCACCTAGAGCAAGAGGCAATGAAATGTTCCAGTCATGAAGTAGGTTTTAGAATGCCATACTGTGCCAGACAGGGGCATGTAACTTCCTTGAACTGGATGAGTTTTAGAAGGAGTCAGTTCCTAGCCTCACCACGGCAAATTAAAGCCAGTTAAAAACTCTTCCCTTTCCAACTCCCTCTGCAATGCCTTGTCAGCCGCTAAGGAGTCAAATCAATCAGGAGTATGCATCTCCCCCACTGCTTGGTAGCACATATGGCCAAACAGCTGGATAGCCACTGAGCAGGGGGGAAAAGGTGCTGGGGGGATCCCCAGTAGTACCATTTGCCTGTTTGCCATCATCCAGAACATCTGGGTTTGCACTGTGAGAGGCAGCCTCGTAAACCGCCTAAAGTGCCATCACGTCCCCGGTGCTCCAGCTGGTGCGGGGGAGAGGGGGGTGGGGGCATAGGGGCTGGACTGGGAGGGAAGTCTAGCAAGCCCGCAGGGTGCCATTTGTTTTGGAAATTGCAGAATTAGTGTCAGCGAGCAATGTGCATCCTGTTGTGTGATCTTCAATCAGGGTGATAGGAAGAGAGAAACACATTTAAGTGGTACGCCTGCTGCCAGCTTGCTGTTCCTTGGCCTCTGTGCCATGCTGGCCTGATGTCAGAGAGAAGAGAGCAAAAGGGGGCAGGGGGCAGTGCTGGGGAGGCTTCTTGTGCTTCTACCTTTTGCTTTGAGGAGTCTAGGAAGGTGGTTTCACATTTGAGGACGGATGGGCTTGGTGTCACTGTAACCCCTGCTTCCCCTCTGCGCCTTATAGTTCTGCTCAATGGCCAGTGTGTGTAAGCTGTGATCCTGCTGGGTGGGTCCACCTCCAGCCATCTAATTGCCCTGTATCCAGTTGCTTAATGCACCTTGTGTTTGGGAGCAAGCACCCCTTGCCGCTGCATTTTTGAAGCTGTACTTCCACACCAGGTTCTCCTGCTCCCCTGAGTCCTGCCCTGCAGAAACCAGTGCTGGGCTGTTACATAGCCACGCCATGCACCTCAGTCCTGATCCACCCCTCCCCTCACTACTCCTGTCCAAATATATGGAGTCTAATTGAATCTTCTGATGAAAATTGGCTCCATGCAATGCACAGATGGGAGATGCAAACAGGTTTGTTATTGGAAGTTTAGTGCTGCCTTCTTGAAATACTGCCAGTTTAGGTGGGAATATCCTGTGCAAAATTAAGTTGCTAGTTCCAGGCTGTCTTCATAGCTGAGCAAAAGGTTTTCAGTTCCTTTAGGCAGAGGCTTTGTCACACTGTTGCTTTTTGTTGTGCCAGTGCCCAACAGGACTCAGCCCGATGAAGGATGGCACCGGTTGCTATGATCGACACATTGGGGTAGACTGTTCGGACGGCTTCAATGGCGGCTGTGAGCAGTTATGTCTCCAGCAGATGGTGCCCCTGCCAGAAGACCCCACTCTATACAATATCCTCATGTTCTGTGGGTGAGTGACACAGCTCACTCCATCATCTGTCAGACAGGGACATGGTGAGGAATCCGTGTGATCTTGGACTTGACACACTCCAAAAGGAAATGTATGGCATTTGTTCTGCTAACAGTCTTATGATGCATCCCCCTGGACATCCAGCACTTTGAGTGTCATCCAGCTATATAGTTGTATACATATTCCAAGCTATCTGGAAGGGTGCACATGTGTGTTGGGTGGCTGGAGCTTACCTCTTCCTTAGACAGCTGTACACTGTGTGGCCAAGGTCATGGATTATGGAGGAACACCAGAACACCTTGCCTCCTCCTTCTTCGCAGGCCATCACTGAGGTTAGCAAGAGAACCCCTCCCACCCCCACCGGGGCAAGCTGTATTCTTTTCCTTGGGGAGAGCAAACAGGTATATGTTTATGAGCTTATGCTACCAGCTGTGAAATAAGATCATTCTTTCCACTTGAGATTTTCTGCACTGTAACTTCTTGTAACCAAGTGCTAAACAGTATGGCTCTGGGTTGCCTGGGAAGCTAGTTCTCCCCAACCCCATGGGATCATGGTTGGGAGGAAATTTGAACAAAGCGTAAATATTGGGTATAGTTTCCTAATGGTCAGAGGTCTTAATGAGCAAGGCTGAATACAGGAGGCTGGAAAAGCACTAGTCTATTGATTACTTGCCACTGACAAAGCAGCTTTGTGGAAATAGGAGCTTTCTGTCTTTAATGGTTGTGGCTCCAGGGGCTGCATTCCTCCCCGGGGTCATTCCAGCTGAATGCAGAGGAAGTCCCCTCTTTCCTTCCTGTGATGCCCTTCCTCTGCCACCCCTCTACTGAATGGATTGGCTTGGTCCCTCATCCTGATGGCTTGTTTTGGGTTTCCTCATCTGGCAGGTGCATAGAAGACTACAAACTCGGAGTGGATGGGCGATCGTGTCAGCTGATCTCGGAGTCCTGTCCAGAGGGGGGTGACTGTGGGGAGAGCCGAGAGCTGCCCATGAATCAGACTTTGTTTGGGGAAATATTTTATGGATACAACAACCACTCCAAGGAGGTGGCTTCTGGACAGGTGTTGAAAGGGACATTCAGGTGAATAGGGCACCCACGTCCCCTCCTTACACATGCCCTTCTGCTTTGCTGACCTGAGAACACTTAATGCACCTAGGAAGCTGTTCCAAGTCTCAGGAGCACAGTGTCATAATTCTCCAGGTGGAGCTGGGGTCATAGGAGTAGTTAGTAGACATTCAGAAGTCATTTTTATCTGGTGGCTTTTGGACTGAAAGTGAATGCGGGGCAGGGTGTGTGAGGGGGGAACACTTCACAGTCCAACTGTCACAAACTCACTACTGTATTATGCTAGGGCTTTGCAGCAGTCTCAAAAGGAAGGTTGAATTAAAATAGACTTGGAGAGATTGACCATCCTTTTAAGTTGAGTGGCTGTGGCAGCAACACTGAGCTTCCAGTGACCATTCAGCAGTTGATCTGTTTCTGATAGCAGAGGGTACTTTAATCTAGCAGATGAAGGTGTATATAATTGGATCCAATGGCTGGGAGAGAAAACTATACAAATGCATGCTAGAAATAAAGAGCAGGTTTATAATTATTGGAACAGCTTGCAGCTTGGTGGATGGTTTGTCACCTTGAGGCTTTAAATCAAGGGTAAGCATCTTTATGAAAGAGATGCTGTAACATAACCAGAAATGAAGGGCTTGGTGCAGGAATTGCTTGGTGGAGTCTTGGACTTGCTTTGCAGCAGTTCATACTAGATGAGTAGTGGTCCATCCTGGTCTAAAACCCTATGTCTCTGAGAACAGATCTTATTCTTCAGAACTCTGGATCTAGCCCCTGAATTTCAGACCTACACATATCTGGAGTACTGTATCCAGTTTTGAGCCTCCTACTATAGAAAGGATGTGGACAAGTTGGAGAGAGTCCAGCAGAGAGCCAGAAAAATGGTTCAGGGGCTGGGCACATGATTTATGAGGAGAGGCTGAGGGAACTGAGCTTATTTAGCCTGGAGAAGAGAAGACTGAGAAGCAATTTAATAGCAGCCTTCAACTACTTGAAGGGGGGTTCCAAAGAGGATGGAGCTGGACTGTTCTCAGTGGTGACAGATGACAGAACAAGGAGCAGTGGTCTCAGGTTGCAGCAAGGGAGGTTTAAGTTGGATATTAGGAATAACTTGCTCATTAGGAGGGTGTTGAAGCACTGGAACAGGTTTCCTAGAGAGGTGCTGGAATCTCCATCCTTGGAGGTTTTTGAGGCCCAGCTTGCCAAAGCCCTGGGTGGAATGATCTAGTTGGATATGGTCCTGCTTTGAGCAAGGGGTTGGACTAGATGACTTCCTGAGGTCCCTTCTGACTGTAATTTTCAATGATTCTGTGACATGTGATAACTCTTTGGAATTTCCAGGCTGAACAACTTTGCCCGGGGCTTGGAGCAGCAGCTTCCAGATGGCCTGGTGGTGGCTACTGTCCCATTGGAGAACCAGTGCCAGGAGGAGTTGTCTGAGCCCACGCCTGATCCAGACTTCCTGACTGGTGAGTGATTCCAGCCACTCTGTTGGTCCTCACCTCCCATGCTTTGTTTTTGGAAGGCTGGGAAGAATTCTTGCTGCCCAGGTAACAAAGCAGAAGGGAAGGAGAAGGGTTTCACTGCCTGATTGCAGCTGTAGCACTCTGTAAATGAAGGCAATCCTACTTGGTTTAAATGTCAGGTGATACCCAAGCTTGGGAGATCTCTGTCCTGGATACCCCCACTCCTTGGTTAGGAGCCCTAGTGAAAGATGAGTGAAGTGTTGGCAAAAATGCCACCTCAGTAACATTTAAACATCACACACATGCCTCTCAGCGTTATCTAATTGCTCACTTAATGGAAATATATTTTTCGAATTATTGCAGCAATTTGTTTTGCTGCCTTTGCACATTGAGATGTTTTGATGTTTGGTTTCATATAATTTTTCACTTCGAAATTTCCTTTTAATTTTATTTTTTTTTAAATCCAAAAATATTTAAAGGTCATTGAAGGTAAATTAAACATTTCAATTTGCAGTTGAATTAAATATTTCATTTCAGCCAGACAAGATTTTTTTAGACTTTTCAATTATCAAATAACCAGAGAATATGTTCTCCCAATTCCAGTCCTTGTGTTGTTCCCTTTTCCTCTCTAACCTTTTGGGGGTTCATCAAACAATCATGGTGGACTAGAACCTTCCCCTGCCATCCAGCTGCCTGCTGTAGTGCTATACTCCCATACCTAGAAAGTACTTGTTTTTAGTCATTACAGTAGTCTGATCTGAACCAGGGCTATATTGTGCTAAGCACTGTACAAACATATAACAAGGGACATGCTTACTGCTCAAAAGTGTGTGAAGTCTAAATAGAAAAATGAACATATTATGGAAGAGGAGACTAAGATAGAAAGAGGTTAAGGGACTTGTCGCTGGTCATGGAGCGTCTCAGTGGCAGAGCCAGGAAGAGAGAACCCAGGTCTTCTGGGTACCAGCTTACTTCCCAATAGAAAACTATCAATAGCGAAGTTGACAATCTAGCCTTATTTTCACTATCCTGTACATCAGCACCAGTGGTAAAGACTGTACAGGTTAAATGCTGGCCTCCTTAATGCCTCTCACAGCCTCTCCCCCCTTGACCTGAAATACACTTTCCATTTCACCCTGCCTGTCTCCAGCATGCTCAGGCAGGTATAACAAAAGCTGTGATGAGAAGTCCCCATAATTACACATGTGGATTTGTAATTGGATCCTAGTTAACAATTCTGTTGATGAGGCACAAAGCTGGAAAATAAGTCAGTTCATTCTCCCAGAGCTGTGCTGGCTCTTCCTGGCTGATAGTAGTTAAAAAACAGTAAAACCATATTTTTTTCACTAAAGTAAGCAGATTCTGGTATTGCTCTGAATACACTTGGGGCAGAGCTGCTGAGTAAGAAGGGGCCATTTTTGCATAATCACTTTTCAGAGAACACTTTAAAGTAATCAAGAATAGCAAGCACTGAAGGGAAAAGAATTTAAAGGCACAGGCACTTTTCCTTTTCTTCAACGTCATTTGTTGTTGGTTGGGAGATGGGACGTTATTAGGTTCTACTTTGATCCTTAAGGCATGGATCATGTCATTTGGAAGTTCCCACCACTGGATTCTTTTCCTGTTACCTGGATTAGCTTTTGTGACTCCTGTTTCTATGGATTTATTGCTTGTATGTTTGCCTCTCCCAGCACTGACCCCCTCCCTCACATCTTTATTTCTCTCTCTCTCTCTCTTTACCTGCTTTTGCTCTTGTATTTGAATTTATCTTTTCTTATACACAGCTTTGAGCATGTGCTTTCACAGCAACTGATGAAGTGAGTTTCTGCCCATGAAAGCTTGTGCTGTATCTATGTGTCTGTCTGTCTGCCTACTTTGGTTACCCTCCTTTGGTTAGTCTGTAAGGTACATTTACTCCCCTTACTTCTACCTGACTTCAGACTAAGACTGCTGTGTCTCCCTGCTCATGTTTGTCAAATTAGTCACCAGAACTAATGGTTGGACAAAGTGTCTCCCACTGTGATGTGACCTGTGTGTTGCCTGAGATTGAACCTGGCCAACAGCTTTTCTTAACTGCTAAGAAGTGCAGCAGGCAAGGCATGGGTGTTTCTGAGAAATACCTAGCCATGATACTACCTTGGTCCTGCCCTATGGCAGTATCAGCTGTACATCTTGGCCAGAAGCACCCGTTGTTTTTCCATTCTGTGGTTCTTTACACAGCTCTGCTGTCACCTTAGTTCTGCCCTTCAGCATCCCAGGTATTGTTGCTAGCAGATAGCTGCTGCGTATACCCTGCATATTACACCATATTGTTACAAGGTTTTATACATTTATTTAATGTGATACACTCAGCTGTACATCAGATAATACCCCAAGATTCAGCAAGCTTATCCCCATAAGCGGTGTCTCAAATCCAAATGTTAATATGCTTTTATACGCTGCTACATTCCTGGCCCTGTTAATTGGTTCTTCTTTTCTGGATGGGACACCAATCAACATGATTACAATGCTTTAACATGCTTTGATTGCATTAGGAATATTGTGAGGCATTTGAAAGGTGCTAGGGATTGAGCTCTGCATTATAGGTCTCACTCTGGAAGGAATGGCTGGCTGGGACTTTCTGAACTGCTTAAGAACATTAGCTGCATAATTTGCAGGGAATTCAGGTGACTAAATCCCAGATTATATATCAGCTACAGACAAATTACAAATAGCCAGTTGGATCACTTGGAAGATGATACCTTTCTAATGTGACTGAATAAAGGGAAGAAGCAAATGGCAGTTTATGTGAGGGCTTTATTCCTAGGTATGGTTTTCTGCCTGCTTACTGGCAGCTGTTAAACAGGACTGCAAACAATTGTGTAATTGGCTAACAAGCATTCCAGCCACAACTGTATGAGAATGGCTAGTGGTATGAAAATGGAGTCTCATACGTTTCAGCAAAGAGTCTGAGCCCAGCAACAGGAACTGTGTTCTGCAGCTGCTTATAAACTGGAGATAGATCTTCACAGTCGGGGAAAAAAAATCCTTTTTGAACCTCTTAGGTGACTGCCTCCAAAGTTGCCATCAGTTACCTGCATCAGAGTCAGCATATAACAACAGACTTGTCACTGGCCAGTAAGAAAAAGGACACCGGATAATGGGGTTTTTTCCCTTTAGGACAGCCACAGTAGTCAACTTCTTGCCACCACAAAATACTAATATCTGTGGTATTAATGGCATAACCTTCCTTATCACCAGCCATTGGCCGTGATCATTCCTGGCTGTTCCCTACGTCTCTGACTCACCTGTCCTCTTTGAACCTGTTGCTCAGCTTTGCTTCCTGTTGAAAATGGTCACTGATGTGACTGCAACTTCTGCCCAGCTCACAGCAGTGGAGATGTCAAAACAAGTACAGACACTTCTAAAAGCACTCTGTCCATGTTTGACTTGCACACTCAGACTGCGTTTTGCCATAGCCATCCAGGAGAATCATTGGGAAGTACTGCACTTATCCTTCTCCGTTTTATAGCACACTCTCAACACCATAATCATATCCATTAACATGCATGTTTAACAGAATATTTAATAAACTTATTCTTAAAGAATTTCCATATGCCGTCTTTGCATTTCTTATGGGTAGGACTTCGGGGACTCTTGCGTTCAGCACATAGGTCTGAACATTGCACTCA